TTGGGACACAGTTTGGTATAAATGATCACGAAATAACAGAATTGGTGCAGTCACTTCCTAGAGTAGGTTTACAAAGTTGAGAAGCGTTTTGGCTGACTGTCTCTTAATTTTGTGTGAGGCCAGATCCACCGAATCCGGGCTGTAATGCACATCTTGTCCATTCTACTCTTACTCGATGCTTGCTTTGTGCTCTGAGTTTTAACAGATGAGACTGGAGGGCAACAAAGGTAGTTGCCTAAGCTTCCCCTTCCCCACCCACTTAAGCCCTCTCACCATTCGCGCCATGGCTGCGGCCTAACGGGGTACTCTTGGGGTCCTCATGTGAACCTCCAATTGGTCTCCTAGCCTCCCAGCCTTGTTCTTTGCAAGCCCTGATTGTCATTCCTGCCCATGTCTTTTGCATTCCTAGACTATTTGAGGTTTCTTTCTCTTGTACGTGTTTATACCTCCTAAACCTGCTACCTCTAAATTCTCCATTCACCCCTAAACTGTGTTTACCTAAGCTAGGTAGGCAGGCTCCCAGGCTTAAACAATTACAGGTTAGGTATTTCAGATTGATTTCTTTACCATAATCTAAGTCCATAATTCTTTTGGCAGAAAAAGCTAATTTCCTGTTAGGATTTGATACTGTACTTGAAGTGGAAGATAGGCATTTAAAAAAGATACGGATGTTCGAAAGCATCACGTTTCGCCCCAGGCTTCATGGCACAAACGTGGTGCTGGAATAAAATGGAAGTAGCAGGAAAACTCATGTGTTCTTTTACTATATATTTTTTATAGTTTACATCTGTTTCTTTTATTGTTTCATTATTTGTATAACTTCTTCATTTACAAAAGAAGTATGTTCATTGTGGGAAATTTAGAAACTATGGAATGATAGAATGAGGGGAAAACCAAATCATTTAGAATCCCATCAGCCAGAAAAACAATATGCTTTTTTGGCATGTTTCTTTCTAGACATTTGAAACAAATATTTGGGGGATCTTTTATCAAGTTCATGCTCCCTCTCTCTACCAGCCCCCCCCCACTGCTGTAGAAAGCCCTTTAACTTCATATTATATCCTGGCATATTGATGCCATTGAAAACATCATTTGTACTTGTGACATAATAGCAAATTGTGGTTCTAATTTATCCACTGTCCTTGGGACCTTGGGTTGTTTCTCAGCCTTTGCCAGAGCAGACGTTAGCCTGCTGTATGTTAACCTTACTGCAGCAGTAAGTAACACTCCCAGCAGTTGTGCGAGATGCCCCCTCCCCTGTGCCAATAATAGGTCTTAGATTTAAACATCCGGGGCGCCTGGGTGGCTCAGTCGGTTAAGCGGCCGACTTCGGCTCAGGTCATGATCTCGCAGTCTGTGAGTTCGAGCCCCGCGTCGGGCTCTGTGCTGACCGCTCAGAGCCTGGAGCCTGTTTCAAATTCTGTGTCTCCCTCTCTCTGACCCTCCCCTGTTCATGCTCTGTCTCTCTCTGTCTCAAAAATAAATAAACATTAAAAAAAATAAATAAACATCAGCAAGTCAAGGGCGCCTGGCGGTTCATTTGGTTGAGCATCTGACTCTTGATTTTAGCTCAGGTCATAGTCCCAGGGTCATGACATCGAGCCCTATATGGGGCTCTGAGCTGAACGGGAGCCTGCTTGGGATTCTCTCTCCCTCTGCCCCTCTCCCCTACTCACTTTCTGTCCTTCTAAAATAAAATTTAAAAATTAAAATAAGGGGTGCCTGGGTGGCTCAGTCGGTTGAGCGTCCAACTTTGGCTCAGGTCATGATCTTGTGGGTTGTGAGTTCAAGCCCCGCATGGGGCTCTGTGCTGATAGCTCAGAGCCTGGAGCCTGCTTTGGATTCTGTGTCCCCTCTCTCTCTGCCCCTCCCCCACTCATCCTCCCTCTCTCTCTCTCTCTCTCTCTCTCTCTCTCTCTCTCTGTCTCAGAAATAAACATTAAAAAAATTTTTTTTAATTAAAAAAAATCAGCAAGAGACTGATATCTTATTGGTTTAGTTTTGAATTTTAATGAGGTGGAGCACTTCTTCCTCTGTTCCTCGGCTGTTCATATTCTTTCCTTTGTTAATGTCTGTCTTCTCCACCCCAGCCTCTTTACCTCTTTTGCGCTGTAGCAATGATTGGAAATGCCACAGACCTATTAGAAGTTACAATTGTAGCAGTGCCTGGGCGGCTCAGTTGGTTAAGCATCCAACTCTTGATTTCAGCTCAGGTCATGATCTCATAGTTTGTGAGTTCAAGTCCCATGTCCAGCTCTGTGCTGCAGTGCAGAGCCTGCTTGGGATTTTCTCTCTCTGCCCCTCCCCTGCTTGTGTTCTCTTTCTCTTTCTCTCTCTCTCAAAATAAACTTTTAAGTTCTGATTTTTTTTTTTTAATGTTTGAGAGAGGGAGAGGGAGGGAAAGAGAGAGGGCAGAAGCATGAGCAGGGAAGGGGCAGAGAGGGAGACACAGAATCTGAAGCAGGCTCCAGGCTCCGAGCTGTCAGCACAGAGCCCGACGTGGGGCTCGAATCCACGAGCTGTGAGATCATGACCTGAACTGAAGTCAGACATTTAACCAACTGAGCCACCCAGGCACCCTGTAAATCTCCCCTTGAAGGGAGGATGTTCACTTGAAGGGAAGTGCCCAACCCAGTGTTGGCATGAATCTGCCCAGCAAACGACAGCTGTCTCTATCACCATTGTCATGGGATGTGTGGGAGGGGGAGCACAGAGGGCTTTCTTTGGGGGCTGGTGACAGGCACACCAACCCATCCAGTGCTTCGGGATAGGGACTGGAATTGGGGAGAGGCAAGGCACAAGTTGTGCTAGGGGACAGGTGGGACATACCCGGAACTCCAAGCGTACTTTGGCTGTGCAGCTGCAGGTGCTTTCTGGAGAAGGCTGAAGAAGTTAAGAGGCTGCCTTAAGAAGACCTAGGCTGGGCAGTGCAAGTGAAGGAGGCTGCAGTAAGTTGCTCTAGGTGGCTTAACTTGCGTGTGGCTGTCAGGAGTGTCCTTGGGGCCACCATATTTGAGGAAGCAATGAAAACAAGGTTAGGGGCTTTGCTGCCTCTGACAACTTTAGGGTTACTAGTGTTGTGTTAGTTCTGTCAACTGTATCTTTTGGAGTATCATAATCTAAGATCGACAAACTCTGGAGATTCGCACATATTGTATTATACTAACCTTGATTTATTTTTAATGGTAATTAATTTTGAAATTTCAAATAATACTGAAAGTAGGTGGAAGATTTTTATGTTTGTTTATGTATGTATGTATGTATTTATTTAATGTTCATTTGAAAGGGGTTTGGGTTAAAGGCTGAGAAGCACTAATCTTGACATCTCCATTCTTTTTTTCTTTTTTCTTTTAAGTTTATTTATTTATTTTGGGAGAGAGAGAGAGTGTATGAGCTATGCAGGACAGAGAGCAAGGGAGGGGGGAGAGAATCCCAAGCAGGCAGGGCTTGAACTCGGGAACCGTGAGATCATGACCTGAGCCAAAATCAAGAGTCAAGACACCTAACTGACTGAGCCACCCAGGTGCCCCTTGACACCTTGATACCTCTATTCTTTAAACACATTTTAGGGGCGCCTGGGTGGCGCAGTCGGTTAAGCGTCCGACTTCAGCCAGGTCACAATCTCGCGGTCCGTGAGTTCGAGCCCCGCGTCAGGCTCTGGGCTGATGGCTCAGAGCCTGGAGCCTGTTTCCGATTCTGTGTCTCCCTCTCTCTCTGCCCCTCCCCCGTTCATGCTCTGTCTCTCTCTGTCCCAAAAATAAAAATTAAAAACGTTGAAAAAAAAAATAAAATAAACACATTTTAATTGTAGAGTAGATATGGAAACTAGTGGAAATAATCGTGTGTGTGTGTGTGTGTGTGTGTGTGTGTGTGTGTGTGTGTATGTGTGTATGTATAGGAGGGTAAGAATAGTGCTACCTTAATAGAAAACAGGTAATTTGGGGTACTTCATTATTACTCGAAAGTGAGTAAGTATAAAATGGCTCACTTAGCTACTGAACACATGATAGTGGTGGGTGATTTACACCAGCCTTCAAATAGGTGATAAACTGATTTCTGAACCTCTGCTCAGAAGCACTGGGTTTCCCAGGTTCCTGGTACGCTTTAGCTTACCGGTGTCCAGCTGCTGATTCGCTGTAACTTCTCTGCGAGTAACAGAGGCTCATTTGCTGTCAGTTGAAACTGACGTTGCTGTGGTACTGTCCCTCAGCATGATACTCCTCAGCTATGGCTCCTGTCTCTCCTGCTTCCTGTAGGTTTGGCCATCTCAGGATTACTGTTTACAAACAAGTACTTTAGCACTATTGTCTTTGTTTACTAGAGATAAAATACTTGACCAAGAGAGACATGTTTATTGAGCAGTAGACACACACTCCTACCCACAGACAACCTGAGCCCTGCATGTCATGGCAAGCCACCAGCTGGACAAATTTAGGCAGAGAAAACCTGCTTAAATCACAGCTGGTGGGGTGATTATACAATATTGGTCCAGAAAAAATGTAAAGCCATCAAGTCTGGTTTCAAATAGTTTCAGGGAGAGAAAGGACATCTTGTTCCCATAAATAATCTGATTTTTTAAAAATAAAAACTAGATCAGTTTACTGATATGAAAGATCCAAGATCCCCGTTATCTGCCATGCTATTAATAACACAAAAGAAAACCTGTCTTACTGCATTTGAGAAGCTTTCCAAGTCATGTTTTATTTCCCAGTTGAAATAATATTTAGAGATTCAAAAATGTGAACCTTTAATAGTATAAGCAACATTTTTTTTATCCTTTTCTCTTTTTTTTTTTTCCAACATTTATTTATTTTTGGGACAGAGAGAGACAGAGCATGAACGGGCGAGGGGCAGAGAGAGAGGGAGACACAGAATCGGAAACAGGCTCCAGGCTCTGAGCCATCAGCCCAGAGCCCGACGCGGGGCTCGAACTCACGGACCGCGAGATCGTGACCTGGCTGAAGTCGGACGCTTAACCGACTGCGCCACCCAGGCGCCCCTATCCTTTTCTCTTAACAAAAAGTCTGTGCCTTTCCTGAAGAATTGCTTTGAACATTTGATTTTTTAAATTTCACATTAAAAAATGTATAGATCATCAGAATAGCTAATTTAATAATAAACCAAAGGAAACATTAGTAGAACCAGTGTTTTATTTTTTCAGTAATGTTGGGTCATTTCCTGTACGCGCACACAGTGGGGGCAGCAGATCAGATGGGCGCCCTGGTGGACCTACCCCGCCTTTTGTCGCCTCAGCCTCTCTCTGGTGCTGAATCCCCCTGTCCTTTCAGTAGAAACTTGGTTCATCTCCCACTTGCTCCAGAACCTACTGCCTTCCAGGCTTGCTCCCTTTGCCCCAGGGCATTGGTGGAGTGCTAGAGCAGAGTGAGGAGGGCACGTGTGGAGGACAGCAGTGCAGCTGTGGAACAGGAGGCTGATGGGGATGGAAGGTGGGCTCCGAGGTCCCCGGGGGGGGGGGGGGGCTTGACCTGTGGAAATGTGTTAGAAGTCATGGTTAGGTTATTTAGGTCAGTAATATTTATAGTTAAATAAATGCCCCACCCTGGCCTGGGAAAACAAGCCTCCTGTGTGCCTTCTATGAAACACATACCTTTTGGATTGGCTTACATGCACTGCTCTTGTACCGATTTGTTTCTCTGCCCTTCCATGCTCCAGTCTCTTTGGCCCAGCACCTACATCCAGCCAGCCGCCAAGTGAGTGAACTGGATGGTGGCCTGGACACTTGCCCCCTCTGTCCCCAACATTCAGTCCAGGGCTAGGGTATTGCCCATTGTACTGCAGTGGTGTCTCCCAGGCGCCCACGCCGAGCAGCTGTGAGGCTGTGCTTCCCTCAGGCCAGTCCCCGAGGGCATCAGGCCACATCCTTGCTCCGTCTCAAACCACACTACCTTTCCCAGAGCACTACTGACACCTCAGCCGCAGCTGCTGTCTCTGGTGCCTGGCACTAGCCTCATAAAGGGTCCGTCTGCTCCTGTTCCTGTCACCATGCCCTGTACCGCACGCCGCCCTTCCTCTCTCCCACTGCGTCAGAGTGGCCATCGTAGGACACATCCGATTGTGGCACTGCTGTTCTCGGCACTGCTTCGTGGCTCCCTGCTGGACCCCGTGTTGAGTCAGAATTCCTTACAGCCTGCATCCACTGCAGGTGGCCTCCTGGGGGCTGGCAGGACCGCATCCTCATTACCTGGTGCAGCAAGTGCTCGCACGGTTCCTGGAATGAGTACGCGAGCCTTTTCCTGGGCTGGGAAGCATTTGCATTTCATGGTACTTCTCTCACTGAGAGTATGTGTAAGGAATAAGTCAGAAATGGGTGGGAATTGATCACTCCTGCCAAAATCTCTTTGGTGCCAGTATATGGATTGGAAAAGAAAAACATTGAGGTGAAACTCACACAAATGGTTAACAGTATTAACCGTTTTACAGTGAACAACTCCGTGACATTTAATACATTCCTGGTGTTGTGCAACCATCACCTCTGCCTAGTTCCAAAACCTTTCATCACCCTAAAGGAAGCCCTGTCCCCATAGAGCAGTTGTTCCCCACAGTGGCTAGCGATGAGTGCAGATGTGGGTGAGTTACAGCCGGGGTAGGACTTTCAGTCAGATCTGGGTTTCTCTGATGACTCAGTAACTGAGCGTTGTTGTTGTAAGAGAGTTCATCCTGAGTGTGTGTACCTCTTGGCGTCTCCGTGGGCTGAGCACTGCTGTGATGGGACTTGGAGCGTGGCTCTGATAGTTAAGAGTTTCCTGTTGTGGACTTGAACTTGGCTAGGAACGTCTGTGTTGCCCGCAGCTGGTTTTATGGCCCAACAAATGCCACAAACCCAGTTAGCTTGCGTAAAAAGCTATTGCATTACTTGAAGAGGTAGTTTTAGAGGTAAATCTTTATTTGAAGAGCCATAAGAAAACTCTGCCCTGTCAAAATTATGTAGGAGGTAATTGAGATCTCTGGCATACTTTTTGAAAGTAGCCTCATATTTGGGTATTAATCTGTATGAGAAGTTTAATTTTTCACTGGCCCGATTTCTTCACTTGTAAAAATAAGTGGATTGAAATATCTTTGGACCTCCTCAGTCTAAGGTATGCTGCTTAGATCTTTAGTCTTTATAATTTCTCCCCTCTGTAAAAAGAAGTTGTCCTCATTCTAGGAAATTCTCAAAATATATAAAGGGTAAAAGGTCAAAACATCCCTACTGATTAAAGACAACCACGGTTAATATTTTGGTGAACATCTTTTTTTTTTTTTTTTTAACTTTTTAAATGTTTTATTTCTTTTGAGAGAGAGAGCAGAAGTGCAAGCATGAGCAGTGGAGGGCAGAGAGCGAGAGGGAGAGAATCCCAAGCTTGCTCCGTGCTGCCAGCGCAGAGCCCAGCTCAGGGCTCAAACTCACAAACTGTGAGATCGTGACCTGAGCCGAAATCAAGAGTCAGAAGCCCAACCGACTAAGCCATCCAGGCACCCCAGGTGCCAGTATACAGCAGCATACAGACATACAAATAAAACAGCAGTATACAAAAACCATACAAATACATGCTGTTTATAAAAGACCCAAATGCTAAAGCAGTATTGGGAGTGAAAAATGAAAAGTGGCCATCGTTACTCCTTGTCCCCAGGGCAACCTTCCTGTTGTTGGTTTCAGACCTTTCTGGATCCTTTCCCAAGTGTTAAGACAAGGAGGTTATTAAGATTTTTTTTTTTTAGTATAATTGTGATAATTCTAGGCTTACTGTTTTGTGGCTCTTTTCAAAAACTGTATTTTTTGGAGTTCTTATCAGTGCATCAGCTTATTTTTTTCTTTTTTAGTGGCTTTTTGATTATTTTCTTTTTAATGACATTATTTTTGAAATGGATGTACCATAATTTAATGTTCATCGTTATTTCCTCCCAACCCCATTGGTTATCTTTTTTTTTTTTTTTTTTTTTTGGATGACCATTTAGCTTGTTTCCAGGGATTCAGTATTTTAAAAATAGTGCATTCATCAGTCTTGAATGCACATACCACTTGCATGGATATTTCTGGAGGATGTTTCTAGGAGTTCAGTTATTGGATCCAAGAAAATGCCCGTTTTAAGTTCCAGTGCTAAGTTACCCTCTACAGAGGCCAGTCCATGTGATCTTCTCTGATAACTAAGCATAGCTTTCCCCCCAACACCCTAGTCAACACTAGATTCATCTTTTAAAATATCCCCCTAATTTATGTTAAAAATGAAATTTTTCAAACAAATTTAATTTCTATAAATTTAAATGAGATTGAACAGCTTTTCCTGTGTTTTAGATATTCAGATTTTTTCTGTGAATTGCATACACCTATCATTTGCCCATTTCCTGTGGATTGTTTGCTTTATTGATTTGCAGGTGTTTATGAACTACTGGTACCAACTTTTTTTTTTTTTTTTTAGTGTTTATTTTTGAAGGAGAGAGAAACAGAGTGTGAGTGGGGGAGGGGCAGAGAGGGAGACACAGAATCCTAAGCAGGCTCCAGGCTCCGAGCTGTCAGCACAGAGCCCGACGCCGGGCTCAAACTCACAACCCGTGAGATCATGACCTGAGCCAAAGTCAGACGCTCAACCGACTGAGCCACCCAGGCGCCCCCTACTGGTACCAACTTTTGTGGGCTATAGACATCGCACGGTACCTTCCCCTATGCCATCTCACCTTTTATTTCTCTTTAGTATACTTAGCAATATCAGATTTTAAACTTTTTATATACTTTGTCTTTTTTCTCTTATTTTAAAAATGTAGTTGTGCTGGGGCACCTGGGTGGCTTAAGTGACTGACTTCGGCTTAGGTCATGATCTCATGGTCTGTGAGTTTGAGCCCATGCCGGGCTCTGTGCTGACAGCTGAGAGCCTGGAGCCTGCTTTGGATTCTGTGTCTCTTTCTCTCTCTCTGCCCTTCTCCTGCTTGCACTTTGTCTCTCTCTCTCTCCCTCAAAAATAAATAAGTGTTAAAAAAATTTATACAAAATGTAGTTGTGCTGTCATTCACGCATACAGTTATTTTTAGTATTAATGTTTCAAAATAGATTTCTGGAAATGGAACTATCTGGCTAAAAAGTAAAACTATTTCGGGGTGCCTGGATGGCTCAGTTGGTTGAGAGTCCGACTCTTGATTTCAGCTCAGGTCATGATCTCATGGTTTGTGAGTTCGAGACCCTCATTGGTCTTTGTGCTGACATTGTGGTGTCTGCTTGGGACTCTCTGTCTCCCCCCTCCCTCTGCCCCTCCCCTATTTGCATGTGCTCGCTCGCTCTCTTGAAGTAAATAAATTATAAAGAAAAAAAAAGTAAAAATATTTTAAGATTCTGCTGCAGGCTGCCAGAACGCAGCCAGAACCTCGGACGACTCCAAGTGCCTTGCCAGGGCAGGCATGAGGGCTGGTGGCCTGCATGTGTCCAGGGGTTTCCTTCCAGTCCTCAAGATGAGTTCTGGTTCTTACCTTGAGGGCCCAGAAGCTAGATTTTGTTGGCAAGAACGGCCCCCGTGCCTGTCCGATGCCACACACTACTGCCCGCACGCACCAGCAGGCTGGTTTGCGTCGTATCCACGGCGGGAAATGTCAGCACGTCAGGCGATCAGCAGTGCCTGACTTGCCCCTGCTGGGAATGCCACACAGAATCCTTAGCACGCGGTGACTCGGGCAGGGTTCTTGACCAAGGCCGCCCTTGATGCTTCCCACCCGTCCGGAGACAGCAGCTCCGGTGCCCAGCTGTGCCTCCCTTGGCCTTGGATGGAGCTGCAGGCCCCACTCCGTGGACTCTCTGGGGGTGCTCCATTTCCGGCCTTCCCCTGGGGGACCCACGATGCATTTCTCCTCCATCGGAACCATGTGTGGTCACGGATGCGGCGCACACTTGTCGGGAGTTTCTTTTAAGAAAATTCGAAACTTGGCTGATGTGGTAGGCAAAAGACGCACAGCTTGTGTCTGTTGTGAAAATGACAGAAGGTGTTTGGGGAGGACGTTTCCACACGGCAGAGCGGTGCACGGTGAAACAGCCTATAAATGAAGTGTTTGTCTTCAGGTGGTGATAAATGGAGGCGCCACGTCCAGCGGTGAACAGGACAACGAAGACACCGAGCTCATGGCAATCTACACCACAGAAAACGGCATCGCAGAAAAGGTACTCCCTTGCCCCAGCCTCCTCCCCGTCACGGGATGTGGCTGTCCTTCCCCGGGCTCGTCTCGGCCCTCCCGAGTGGGTGTGTTCCCTTCATAGTGGAAATAGAAGGGATGGTGAGGAGTAGAAGTTACTAACTTTTCATTGTCTAAATGGCGATTAAGGTGAGGTCCATATAGAAGTTCTTATATTTAAAAGCCTTAGCCAGGATGCTGAGGGAGGTGGTTAAGAGTGTGAGTCTGGACTCAGGGCTGGGTGCTAATGTGACTCGGACCCCGAGGGAATTACTTAAGGTCTCTGGGCATCATCCGTTGCCTCATCTCCAAAATGAGAATAAAAGTGTCAGCATCTGTCTTCGGTTGTTGTGAGGAGTAAATGAAATAATAACCTGTGTAGTTCTTAGCATTGTGCCTGGTACATACTCCGTTGGAGTGAACAAGATAATACAAGAAGCCAGCGGTAGCTTGTGTAGACTGAACAAAGGGGCAGAAATCACATGTTAAGGTGGGGAGAAGCTCCCCCCGCCTCCCCCGCCATCCCATTTCCTTGAGATTAGTCTGTGTGACCCTATTCACAGAGGCCAGAAGAGGCCTGCCCAAAGAGGATCCATATGCCTTAATTTCTTTTTTTATTCTGTATTGATTGGTCACTGTGCTCAATGCATGAAGAGTTTGACAAGAGGATATTTCTAGATTGTACTGTAGCTCTGAGACTCCTCAATTTCATTTGAGTTTTATTTGGTAGACTTTTTAAAGCACATTTTGTATTCGTTGTGAAAATTCGCTAATTTAATCAGTTTCTGTATTTCTAGAACCACTGTATTCTATTTTTTTTAAGAGTAATCTCTATGTCCACTGTGGAGCTTGACCCCGAGATCAAGAGTTGCATGCTTTGCTGACTGAGCCAGCCAGGAGTCCCCTGAATTGTACTTTAGATAGTGCACACTTAATATTTTAGAAAGGGACCACTGGAAAGTTGATACATGCAAACATAGTACCCAGCTTGGGCATTAATTAGCACAGTAAGTTTACAGTGTAATCACTAAAATGATAAAGAACAAGGAAATCATTTTGAAATTCTGGAATAATCAAATTTTTGTGTCTGTATGGTTTCTTTTTTCCATTTTTGGCTCTCTTGACCAATATTACTTTTTGGTCAGGCTATTATAAATTTTGTGGAGGCTAATTAGATTCATGCTGAGTTGTTGACATTCCTGTGGTTTTGGATTCTAAGCTGCTCCTCAGAGTGCAGAAATTATAGTTGCCACTGTGGACATGTTGACCGACGCCTATGTCTGCAGCTGAGACACAGCCGCAGAGTGGGATCTGGGCAGCGAGCTACCGCCTGGCCTGCTTGGGTCTCAGCATTCAAATGGTACATCTTGCAGCAGAGTGCTTCTGA